GGAGTTTGTCAAGGCCAACTATAATGTGAAAAAATATTTTGATAAAATCTATTCGTTTTTGTTTTATGCGTAAAAAACAGATTTTGATCATTTTCATGTCTCCTCCGTAACTTCTTTGTTTATGAAAATATTCAAATACTAATTTCACATTCTCATGGCAGTTTTTCGAAGCGATTTCGAAAAAAATATGAAATTTATACCAACTCTTCTAGAATTTGAGATATCAGCACCAACTTCAGTTTTTCAAATGTAGGTCATAGCTCACTATGACTTAGTTACAAATAATGTTTTTTTCTCTTACAGATGATATGTCGCAGTAATAGTTTTGTGTTGATAACAACGGAGTTATCGTCATTTATACAAAAACAAAAAATTATTCGGAAGCCGCCATCTTGAATTTATAAATTTTAACAAAAAAATCATGATCTCCGATTAACTCGAAATTTGGCAGGTGTTCATAATTTCGGTGACAATACATCATGGAATTTTTGTTGAAATTAAAAAAAATGGCTGCTCCAAGATGGCGGACAAGATTTGGTCCGATTCCATTCAAAATTGGTGAATGAGGGTTTTTGAGGTCGGAGATCATGATTTTTTTGTTGAAATTTATAAATTCGAGATGGCGGCTTCCAAATAATTTTTTGTTTTTGTAAAAAAGTTATTTGTAACTAAGTCATAGTGAGCTATGACCTACATTTGAAAAACTAAAGTTGGTGCTGATATCTCAAATTCTAGAAGAGTTGGTATAAATTTCATATCTTTTTCGAAATCACTTTGAAAAACTGCCATGAGAATGTGAAATTCCTATTTGAATATTTTCATAAATAAAGAAGTTACAGAGGAGACATGAAAATGATCAAAATCTGTTTTTTGCGTATAAAACAAAAACGAATAGATTCTATCAAAATATTTTTTTATATTATAGTTGGCCTTGACAAATTCATCATCCATCCACCGACTTCGTATCTCTCACCGTTAAAAAGATACCCATGGTGAGCATGGTAACTGGGACACACTGTATATCGGTACGTTTAATCAGTGCATTCATGAACATGAGATGAATTTTTTGAAAAATGAAACAAATTCAACATACGCCAACCATATATTAGAAGAAAACCATACTTTTGATGATAATTTCGAAATTCTACACGTAGAAAATGAAGGAAAAAACTCAATTGTATGTAATGATATGTATTTGCTATCAACATCAACCGCCCTTTCAAGTTAATCCATTACACCGTATTTAAATGTAGATATTATTGTGCCTATTTTCCGAAAATGAAGGTTTATCGAACCTTTCGACAGGTAATTCTAATCCTTCAGGTTAGGAAAGTAGGATATATAAAAGTTTAGGCAAGTCGAGGTTAGTTTATTTCATTGTACCAGTATTTCACCTGATAAAGCTACTGTGTTAGCGAAGCATGTCATGTGATTAAGAATTTTGTCGAAATCTCATCGTTTGTGAAGTTTTTACATTCGCTATGAATTTCCGTTAAATAACAGCCGAGTCAATTCAAAATTTTGGGATAGTGTCACGAGTGGGTTGTAACCCCCACAATCGTAACTCGAACTTACTCGCTTGCAAGAGGTTTTATGAAAATTATAATTAGCGACTTAGCAATCTAGGTTTTTCAAAAGAGGCATGTGGATTTTTTTCAATGTATCTCTCTGATCGTTCACACCAAGTCAAAGTTGGGAGTGCCTACTCTGAATCTTTCTTTCCAACCTCTGGAGTGCCGCAGGGGAGTACTGTTGGCCCCCTTCTCTTTATTATTTTTATCAATACCCTACCTGAGTGCATACAATATTCATCTGGACTCATCTTTGCCGACGATTTCAAAATTTTCAAGCAAATTTCTACACATTCAGACTGCCTCCTACTACAAGAGGATCTCAACGCGGTATCTAACTGGTTCGTACAAAACAAAATGCGTCTTAACACGGATAAATGCTTCACGGTGACGTACTCCAGATAATCAATTTCAGATAACTTCGACTATGTTATGAATGACAATATTTTACAACGTCGACAAGAAATTAAAGACCTCGGGGTCTATATGCAGAGCAATTTAAAATTCACAACGCATTATGACTTTGTTGTTAATAAAGCATATAAAAAACTGGGCTTTATTATACGCAATTCCAGAAACTTTGAGAGCATCAGCACACTAATCAAACTCTATAACGCCCTAGTGAGGCCACACCTCGAATATGCAGCAATAATATGGTCACCCATGGCTTACTGTCACAAGGAACGTATAGAACGTATTCAAAAAAAATTTCTACGCTTTATATATGTTAAAGAAAACAATATTTACCCCTACCACGTTTCTTATCAAAGCATGCTGGACTCGTATGAATTTCAAAAACTCTGTGATAGAAGGAAACAACAATCTGTGATATTTATATACTATATAATTAACAATATTAAATACCACAAATGTGCATTGATCAATTCTATAAAACTAGTTGTTCCAAAATTAAGCTAAGACCTAAATGGGACAAATTATTTAGTATTAAGTACCCATTAGATAATCCTCTAAGCCAAATGCTGATGCTCTGTAATGAGCTCTTCAAGGATACGGGTGTTGACTTCTTCAACACAAATGTGAAAGCATTGAAGACACTAACAATGTAACTTTAGTAAATGTAACTTTAGTAAATGTTTGTAATTTTTGACTATCATCTCTGTACATTTTTATATTGTGATGCCATTTGTAAGTGTGAATTTCTTTCATTTCTTAGTAACTTTTTTAATACTTATGCTAGTTTTAAGGTACTTTTGTAATGTCTTGCACTTTAATTACTCTACAGTGTTTTGTGAGACTTTAAATTAAATAAATAATAAAATAAATAATCAAAGAATTCAACTCCACTTCACAAATTTATTCATCTTTATCAAAAAACAATTCGGGCATGAGATGAATTGACCAATTTCCCAGCAAGATACACCCAACTCAAATAAAAACAAAACAAGAAAACTGAAACTAGTAATATTAAAAAACGTACTTACAGAAAGGCTCGCCTTTTGTTGGAGGATTGGAACTGCCACTCACGAAGTTTAGACATGATAAAAAAATGAAAAAGATTTACTTTTTTGTTAGCGAATTTGAAAAAACTATACTTTACGGTCCACTGTCCGAACCACAACTGTCGGTTTTTTCTCTTAATACTTTTTCATGTCGGTTTTGGTAGTGGTAATTGATTCAGCATAAAAACTAGTGTATTCACCTCGATTAGGAAAAATCCAAAACCAGCAGTTTCTGACCGTCAGCGACTTTACTTGAATAATAATAGGATTGAAATCCGAACTATAATTTCTTTTGAATATCGTAATTCTCTACTGATATCCTGTAAGCTGAATAATTCTAAGAATATGATCTAGACTAGAGTCACTGGATGGTATTAGTTTGATAAGAGTTCGGACACAGCTGAACTTTTGTCATTTTCTATTTTCTATAATACAATGGTTTAAGTGAATGAAAGAATAAGACATATATTCTGCTCTTTGTCTTTAAATTTCCCTAGTAGCGCCTGATTGTCAGATACGATTTTAGAGGTTATATTTTCTGTCAAATCAATCATAGCCGTAGATGGACAATGGATATAGGGTACAAACACCCACTTCAATTCATAGTGATACACTTCTAGCAGAGCAAGATTTATATAAATGAAAAAAATGGATGTAACAACAATTTAATATCAGAGAATATATACATATGGATAAACTTATAGCTATAATTCCTTATTGTATGTGAAACTGTACTCCAGTGAAGTATTCCTGAGACAATTTTAAGAAATAAAGTCTATATAAGCTTGTGTCTGGAAATGCTTCATTTCGGAGATACAGGCTGTTGAAATAGAGAGAACAAATCATTTTTCGATAAAGATTTCATGGGAAAAAAGTAAATTTATTTTGACGAGACCTACCAAATACTTGGTTTGATAAGTTCTCAACAACTTCACTTAGTGCCCCAGGAGCTTAGTAACATGGATCGATATAGAAAATATCTCCAAAACGATAACCTCCAGCGTAATTAAGGCCCTTATAATAATAGCCTTGAAACATAAATATCTATTCACTTTTCACTGTTGAATTTTGAATTCGCGGTCAGCACCAAAAACGCCATTCAATAATATATCACGTTGTAGTTTACTTGCTTTTCTTAGTTTCGTTTTCAAATTTTCAATTTCATAATGTAATTTTGCGATCATTTCCCCTTTTCCATGATTATTTTGTTTTGTATTTTGTGTGATGATAATAATGGAATTTTGTTCTTGAAATCGTCTGCTTTGTAAATTGATATGGAACAGCAGATTCTCTCAAACAGATTTTGAAATCTTCTGTTTGAAAATGGGCCTAAAAAATAGATTCATTCTAATCAGATGCTGTTATAAGAAGTGAATTTCAATGAGTACCTCACAAATTTCGCTCGTCTTCAAATTGATTTTCCACCCAGGCCGTTTCATATCTTCCTTCCATAAGCGAATGCTTGATATTTGATTTGAAAAATCGAATAAATGATATCCATTTGTTTCAAAATTGGCACAATTTATTATACAGCAAGTGATTTTCATAGCTGATTTTATCTCGAAAGTATAATAATTATGAAATTTCATTTCAATTCTGACGTTTATAAAATGAATTGTCAAATTCAAAAACTTTTGAATGAGAAAGCGCGGGCGACTATGGTGCTCTTGTCACAATGCAAGGTGTGTAACTTTATAAATCTAAACATTAAAAAACCCTAACTGTTGTCATTTCTGTGTCCGAACTCTTATCAAACTAATATCCAGTGACTCTAGACTAGATTATTGTACTGTTCTTAAATGAAATGGGAATTTCAAATATTCCCAATAAAATTATTATAGTTTCGATCCATTCTTGACAATAGGTTCAATAATGATTGAGCTAGACGGGGGGACATTTATATTGAATCACCCTGTTCTCTGATATCAGCAAGAAGACGTGTCGCTTTATTTTGAATCGCCAATTCCAGCAATCGATCTCCCAGCAACCGAACCCTGCAAACTCGCACGCCCCGCCCACTTTCAAGCACTGCATCCAATTGGCTGCCTGCGGGGCACATCAAGTGTTGCCGATGACTCCCGAGCTGCCCGCCGACCTGTTCACCGCCTGTCTGACCACGCCCATCAAGGTGGCCTTGAGGTGGTTCGTGCTGCAACCCACGTCGAAGCTGATGCCCAAAGTGACGCCTGACCTCATCGACAAGTTAGTTGTTACAATATCACCCTGTAGGAGGTGAAGGTTGAATTATATACATAGGAGTCAAGTATAAATGTTGGGTTAGATCAATAATTCTGGTGAAAATTCCTCACCAGTGATTTTTATACAGTTAAATTGTGTTTTTATGACAAATTACCATGCATTTTAGTGTAAATTTTGTTCTCGTGGGTACCCACCAGCGTATGAAATCGGAATTTTTTTTATGACGTTTTAATGACGGAATAATATTTTGACGTCCTAAAATAGTGATTTTGTGCAACTTCCTATCGAGTTGAAATCAACAATTAATAGGCAAAGAATCCATTGATGTCGTAACTGCATCTATTATATAGAATATCATACCACTATCTGGGCAAATGTAAGGCGTTATGGAAGGCTAAAATTCGAAATCTCTGTCTGACCACGCCCATCAAGGTGGCCTTGAGATGGTTCGTGTTGCAGCCGACGTCGAAGCTGATGCCCAAAGTGACGCCTGACCTCATCGACAAGTTAGTTGTTACAATATCACCCTGAAGGAGGTGAAGGTTGAATTATTCCATAACCTTCCTTTGCTTATTTATTATTATTATTATTATTATTTAATCCCAAAGCTCTGTGAAGACGGGGATGGGTTCTTTAGAAATGATGTTAACAAATATTTCAGAGATATACAGTGTGTCCAAGATAAGGTTGAACAGCATGGGGATCTCGGAAACGGTAAGAGATACGAAGTCGGTTGAATGGGGAAAAAGTTGCGCATTCGGAGGCTCATATCAAGAGCCTTCGAAAATTTTAAAAATTATTTTTAGTTTTTTAGTTATATCGAAAAAACTGAATTTTTGGGATATCTATTTTATTTTTTTTCTCTGTTATTATTAGAGATACACCAGAACTGAGAATACTTTTTCATAGCAACTTTTGGTGACGTTCAACGAGGTGATACCGATTTTTTTATGCGACGTTTCGTATTCGTGGAACCATCATCAACTTTTGTTTTTTAAATACGGTCCTGATAATTTTTTCACAGATTCTGAAAGGTTTTTTTATTCTGAATTCAACCATGTATTATACAAAGTGGTTTATGTGTGTTTCGACCCATTTTCAGCCATCATCAATGTTTTTTCGAAATTCCAAAGAAAAATGCCATCAGTTTCACTTATTTTGAAGGAAAATTAGTCAACACACTAATACCTCATCAACTGGTTTCAATCAACAACCCATTTCATTTTGCGGAAACAAAAATTCCATCCATACAAATTCAGAATATGTCAAGCGCTAAAACCAGGCGATGACGAAAGGCGCAGGACATTCTGTGAGTGGTATACCAGGAAATTTTAAAATTTTGCAGATTTCTTTCGAACAATCATCTGGACTGATGAAAGCATGGTCACTAATCATGGTAGCTTCGATAGAAAAATACACATTATTGTTCACGAGAAAATGAACATTTATACATTACAGCGAGACACCAACACCGTTTCGGCTTTAATATGTGGGTTGCAATATTTGGTACACGAATTATTGTTCCTTCTATTTACCATGAAACACAGACTTCCGAACGTTATAGAAATTCGCTTGAGAATCATCTTGAGGAAGCTCTGGATGATTTACCGATTGCGGAAGTTCAGAACTCTGTTGGTTTCAACAAGATGGCGCTCCGGTACATAATTCCAGAGAAGTCCGTGCGTTTTTATCCCTTGGCCGGCGCGGTCGCCTGATTTGACACAGCTGGATTTTTTCTTAGGGGATATATCGAACTTTGTACACGCAAATAACTTTGAGGATGAAGAAGAACTAAGGGACAGTGTCTTCGAAGCATTCAATAGAATAACCCCAGAAATGCTTAGCAATGTCTTAGAAACAACTGTGAGAAGAGGATATCTTTGTTCAGAAAATAATGGTTATCATTTTGAACATTTGTTATGAATGTCTCTGTAGGTATTGTCAAAGTTAAGTTGTTAAAGTAATTCGTGTAAGAATTCATCAACAATTTTAAACGCTGCATTGATCGAATGATGTAGTGAAATATTTTTTATTCACTTTTCAGTATTGAATAACTAATCCATCAAGTTTGACACTAAATGATAAGAAATAAGTGGAACTGATGGCTTTTTTTCTTTTGGAAGTTCGAAAAAACATTGATGATGGATAGAAATAGGTCGAAACACAAATGAACCACTTTGTATAATACATGGTTGAATTCAGAATAAAAAAACCTTTTAGAATCTGTGAAAAAATTATCAGGACCGTATTTAAAAAACAAAAGTTGATGATGGTTCCACGAATACGAAACGTCGCATAAAAAAATCGGTATCACCACGTTAAACCTCATCAAAAGTTGCAATGAAAAAGTATTTTCAGTTTTTCTGTATCTCTGATAATAACGGAGAAAAAAAATAAAATAGAAATTCCAAAAATTCACTTTTTTCGATATAACTCAAAAACTAAAAATAATTTTCAAAATTTTCGAAGGCTCTTGATATGAGCCTCCGAATGCGCAACTTTTTCCCCATTTAAGCGACTTCGTATCTCCTACCGTTTCCGAGATCCCCATGCTGTTCAACCTTATCTTGGACAGACTGTATACAGGTGATACACGGTGGATGGCCTATTAGAAGTATCTCGAGAACGAAAAGACAGAACATTCTGAAAATTAGAATGCTTTGATAATTGAACATTCTCTATCCGTCTAAGAAATTTTCATCGATACAGTGTTGCCACTTCTATCAGAAACAACTAGCAACTTCGTTATTATAAATGGAGCACCCTGTATTTTATTGCATTTTTAGATTCTCCCTGAAGAGCTGATTTTATCAATGTATCACACTTGGGGTCAAGCAGGATTGATTACACAGATATAGGGTGTTCAAAATCGAGATTTTTCAATTTTAGGATTTTTTGTGTCAAAACTATTCATTATCGATCAAAACGGCTTACATGTCTACGTCTCAACTTTCGATTTACTTTCTACTGACATTAAATTGGAACAGATACAGGGTGATCAGAATTCTGAATCTATCCAATTAAATTCCAGTAGATAGTGAATCAAAAGTTGAGATAGGGTCATGTAAGCCGTTTTGATCGATATTGAATAGTTTCTACACAAGAAAACCTCACATTGAAAAATCTCAATTTTGAACACCATATATCATCGCTATGAAATCAAACCGGCGTATCTGCAAAACTACTATTTTTCACCAGAGCGCTTCAAAGTTTTTCTACTCGATTATTTCTTTATAATTATCTACTTGATCTTTCATCTCAGAGCTATCTTTTTCGTGCATAAAATTGAGTTCGGTTTTGCTTGTAGCTGCATCGGTGGCAAATAACTAGAAAATTTTCTGGGAACAGAAAAATATGCAGATATGTCGGTATATCACTTCAAAGTTTATAATATGGGTATAATTTGCAAAAGTGTCTGGAGTATCTGCCAATGAGCCACGCCCGAGGCTACGCCTGTGCATATTAGAGGAAGTAGTATTGGGAGATAATTCAGTTATATGTACAAGCTGCAGTAGTTTTCACCACGACATCTCATGATGAACTGACGCATTGGCAATACACCTGTTAACTGCTTATAAACATACTGAATCTCGCCAAAATTCATACCGGCACAAGGATACTATACATATGCCGGTTTGACGGTGAAAAAAATGATTTTTTTGATGCCAATAACTCAAAAATCCCTTTTTCACAGATATGCCGGTCTGATTTTACAACGACGATATCTCTGTAATCATTCCTGCTAGACCCCAAGTGTGTTGCATTGATGAAATCAGCTCTTCAGGAAGAATCTAAATATGCAATGAAATACAGGGTGTTCCATTTGAAATAACAAAGTTGCTAGTTGTTTCTGATAGAAGTGGTAACACTGTATCGATGGAAATATTTTCGACGGATAGAGAATTTTCAATTATCAAAGCATCCCAATTTTCAGAATGTTCTGTCTTTTCGTTCACCAGATCACCCTGTATACAGGTTCCTTTATTTCATATGGAATGGGTGGTATGATATGGAAAGAGATATGGTATAAATGTAGAGTTGGATCAATAATTGTGGGGAAAATTCCACACCAGTGATTTTTATACAGTTAAATTGGATTTTTATGACGAATTACCATGTATTTTAGTGAACATTTTTTTCTCGTGGGTACCCACCAGCGTATGAAATCGGAAATTGTTTTACGACGATTTAATGACGGAATAATATTTTGACGTCCTAAAATAGTGATTTTGTGCCACTTCCTATCGAGTAGAAATCAACAATTAATAGGCAAAGAATCCATTGATGTCGTAACTGCATCTATTATATAGAATATCATACCACTATCTGGGCCAATGTAAGGTGTTATAAAAGGCTAAAATTCGAAATCTCTGTCTGACCACGCCCATCAAGGTGGTCTTGAGATGGTTTGTGTTGCAGCCCACGTCGAAGCTGATGCCCAAAGTGACGCCTGACCTCATCGACAAGTTAGTTGTTACAATTTCACCCTGTAGGAGGTGAAAGTTGAATTATACATAGGAGTCAAGTCATAATTGTTGTCGGTTACTCTAGGGTCCCTTGATGGAAATTGACGTTAAAGTCATCTTAACAGGGTACGGACAGATCATAGCTGCATTCTTTTTTAATGATCTAGAGACTTTAGTTTTGTCTATTGGCATCCCTGACATTGCTGTCACGTCACATCCATGGGCGCTACAGAAAATCACTCAACATTTTAATAATAGGTATGTACAGGGTATTTACTTGTTGTGGTAGATCATATGGCGAACGAGTTTTGTAATTATGATCCGATTCTACAAAATTGGAAGGTATCTGGGGTTTCGTCAAACTTGGAGAATTCAAGATGACGGATCCACTATATAGCGAAAGAAATTTCTAATGATGATCTGATTCTATTTAGAATTGGTATCTGAGGGTTTTTTATGTCGAACATCATGATTTTTTATCAAAATTGGGAAATTCAAGATGGCAGATCCAATATGGTGGACGAGTTTTGTAATGAA